AGAGCTCAGCAAAACCACACCAGTCTTTCCCACGGGGGACAAAGGCTCTCCTCTTAGCCACTGTGAAGGAAGGAGAAAGTGAGTGTGGGCCAATGTCCTTCAGAGTGAGCCAATATGGTTGAGTTCAGAACCAGGCTACTTTCAGACTGAGGTGGAAAGGCCAGCTTTTAGGATGAACTAGGTCAGGAGTAAGGTTTAATGGTGCTAAAACCCAAGGCTGTTACGAGATGTCACTCCCAAGTGAAGTATGTTCCATAAAATCTCACAGGCCGATTAGACTGTTATATTCTTGATAAGCCCTCAACATTGCCCATAGAAGAAAATCTAGCTGGTATTGACCAAAATCCAAGAAGTAAAGTCAACCGCAGGAACTTAAGCCAAAATATCATGAAACTTGGGAGAAAAACATTTCAAATGCGAAAGAAAGGCCTGAGACCATCTTCCATTGTTGAACTGGAAATCAGATTGACTTAAAGAATTTAAACTTAAAAGTACCTGTGCCAGTAATACAGCTGCATATTTTCCTAACAGTCATCTTACCGTAATCTCTCAAGATACTTTTTTTGAAATACATAAGATCAAAGTTATTCTAATATACATCATATAAAGAACTCGATTCAGTCCCTATTATATTTGTGGGAAAAGCAGGATTGACCTCAAAAATGCAGCACACCTTCTGAAGCAGACAGAATAGTCATTATAATCTGAAGCAATACCCTTTGAAACCTATGGGAATCATTACATTTCATCTACTGCCCAATGAATCGGACCCTTAAACATGAAAGCTGTGCTCATCTGGGAATTCAGGATCCTTGTTTCTACTAGCTGGGTCCCCTGCTACTTGCTTACATATGACATTTCCTAAAAAACATCACCTCTCTCATCTGAACAGAGCTTTGCCTAAAATCAGAGGCAAAGCCTATTTTCCTAACTAAGGGCAAAATGCTGAATAAGATTTTCAAATTTTTCCCCCTGCAAATACGATGTTTTCAGCCCGTCCCTTATGACAGGAAAGGAAGCTAGGAGTTCACACCATATTTCAGCTGTTTGTTTTCATTGGCTCTCCAGCTGGCTGGCATGACAGCAAAGAGCACACCACAGTGCTGATCTTTAGGACTCACATCTTACTTCCTCACAAACTACGCGCTGATTCCAGTGAATCTTCTGGGGCCCCTAAACTTTGTCTTCTGGTCTCAAATGCCCATTCCTGATGGGAGTTTCACTTTCTTCAGAAAAGACAAAGTCTCTGTATGTGTTGCCTTCAAGTTCTATCTGACTGATTTACTGACAAAACATTTCTCTTAACATTCTGGGGTCATCAAATCTTGTCCCTGATAATGGAGGCTCCACATAATTTATGTACAAGTTCACTGATTTTAAAAACAGTTAAATGCTATAGAGGTGTATCTACGTTTGGGATTTTCTGAATTTTATTTTAAAATTTATAAAAATTCAGAGATCTGTGTCCATCTACACTGAAGTCAGCACAAGCTTTCCAGTAATAAAATCAAGAATACAAAAGCAGCTCGGATTTCTAATCCCCCCGTCCCTGATGCGTATAATCTAATCATTTTGGTTCCTTACAACTGTGAACTATTTTGCTCAATTATCACTTCCTGTTTCAGTATACTCATAGACAATAGAATTATAGCAAACACTGGTGTTTTCACATGTCTAGACAAATCCCTGGTGAACTGGGAATGAACTGAGTTTTTTCTAAATATATTTTTGGGGTATATTGTCTTCTCTTCAATGTGGGACATGTGCATGATTTGTCTTTATTTTAAAAGTGTCTCTTTATACCTCCCTAGAGAAGAATAAAAAATTAATTTTATCCCTAGATTTGAATATTTACAAAGAACATTAGAGAAATTAACATTTTTTTTTCAAAAGTCTAAAATTTCTACAATTTACACAAACTCTAGATTGCAGAAAGTTTGTGCGTCTCAGAATAAATTGCATTTCACAATGGCACCATCTACTGGGAGACGACCACTACAGCGAAGCACACTGTGGTTCCCTCACCTCTCTTTTGCAATTAAACGTATAATTATTGATATCCAACACCTCCTCCAAATAGCAATATAAATTAGATCTGGAAAAGTAACTGAAGGAACCAGGAAGCTGATAATGAGAAAATATCACTGAGGCTTTCACACTGAACTTTTAATACAGCAGGAGCTAAATATTACTATTTGGCTTTATGCTTCCTTAAAAATATGGTGCAAAATTGAAAAGAACACTAGGAATCTGAAGTCTTGACTTGTATTTCATGTAGCACACTTTTCCATGTACTTTAAAAATTCATTCAGACAAAAGGAGAGAAATTTCTTCTTTCAGAGGTGTGAAATCTGTTTGTTAGTTTACATGATGATCGTGGTCTCTGATGCCACCTCCCAAACTTCCTCTGTTCCCGTAGTGTGTGTAAGTGACTGATTCTACATGTTGAGAACATTTTAAAGTGCTGTATTCTACTGGGTTAACAAGTTCCTCGGTTTAGAAACAGACACCACAGACTGTGTCACTATCACACAGTATGCTTATCTATCTAGCAATGTACCAGAATTTCCACTGGATTTGCTTAACATCCAGGATTTCCGGATGCAGCAGTAAAACAGCCTCAAGCTCTGCAATAACATTCATCGCAGAGTACGGACAGTGCCAGGGAAAAGGTCAGAATCTTCTGGCTTGAGAGGGAATTCTGGAAGTCTTTTTCCTTCTCTGTACATTCCCATTGTTTTTGTATTGCTTGATGATTCTCCAAGCATTATTCCATATCAGTTTCATAAGTAAAGTTCAGTTGGTAGTCACTCAACAAGCTGATCCAAGTTGACAGAAAATCTTTCAGCAGACTTTACAGAAATCAAGAAGAATAATTTATCTGCTTCCTGATCTGCAGCAGGTGTCCACACACAGCCATTGCTGCTACTCATATAACTTCTGGTTAGGATGCACAAAGGGGCAGATACTCCTCAGAGTAAACAAACAGAAGTTTGAAAAGGGCTGAAAAACAGACATAGTCCTGACAGGTGTATTTTTTAAACACTTTTTTCATTCAGTATGTTAAGTATTGAAAGTTTAAAAAAAAAAAAAAATTAAAAAAAAATCATTTTTATCAGAGGTTAGGAAGCAGGAAAAAAGTTAAAATTACATCTGTGCCTTTGTAAAGAAGGCTGATTAAGAGAGTACTCTGTCTTTTTCAGCCTATAGTATTCTTACAGCAATTGCTGGACACATTTGTCTGGAACACTTTTCAGACAGTCATGTCAGAATTTACCCCAAGAGAAATGCATTAGTAACTGCAGTTTTTAGTGTCTCATCAAAATTTTTCTTTCTTTCTCCTTTTTTTGGGGGGAGGGCCAGAGAGGAGTCAGAGAGAAGACATACCATTTAAAAATATTTCATCTTTGGGGGATTTGGGAGCTGCTGGGTTAATCAAATTGGGTACCCAAAAGTTTCTTTCAGCTGCTGACCAGTTCCTTGCAATTTGCAGTTCATTCAAAACCATTCACTACATTAAAATTCTCATTCAGAACCTGAGGATGACTGCAAGAAATTTAAAGATATTTTAAATGTGCATATAGAAGAGATCCTTTCCTCTTCTACTTACTTGTCCTCTAGAAAAACAATTTTCTCACAATCAAATACCAAGTAGTTAAAATAAACAGCAGACTTGCCACAACAGCCATTTTGAGTAGGAGTGTAAAAATATGGTATTCCATGATGATCTAGCTATATCAGTAAAACTTTTTTGCAGACAAAACAGAAGTGCTTAATTTAATTCATCACCAGACATAACTGTCAGTATATGGTGATTTCTAGCAAACCTTTGGCAGACATCTACTGTAGCAGACACTCTTAGGTCTCTCAGAAAGAGAAACTGGGGCTGGGAATAACTTTGATAATTCTGCTGAAACATGCAAATTTCCCTGGAAGCCTATGATAGGACAGATACAGTGTGAAGCCTTCACAGCCTTTCTACAGAACGCTATCTCTCACTATTTTCATTCTCAAGTCAAAGAATTGACCTTGTGAATGAAAGCTCAGTTTGGCTTTTATTCTCTTCCACCTGCTTGCTTGAGGCAGAATATTGTCACAGCACCAAGTGATACACATCTCCCTTTCAGACTTTTTAACTTACTTGTTTTGGCTGGATGACTTCTGTTCGTTACTCTTCATTAAATTTATTCAGTTCTTCTTAGATGTACAACCACGTTAAATCCAGGCAGGAAATTTGTAAGTCTAATAAAAAGGGAGCTCCAAGCTTGCAAATATCTTACTGATACTATAAAACTCTACATATACATGCTGAACAAATCAACATCATATTAGTCCAAAGTCAATAGCTCACTCTGCCAGAAAAACAATCAACATGGAAGTAAACTTCAGGACACTCTTCAAGAGACTAATGAGCTAGTTAGCATTCCAAGTTAAAGTCAGTATTCAAAGCCACACAGAAACGCAATGCCAAGGGCTCATTTTGCCTTTTTTCCCTGTTTCACATTGACAATATGGCCAACTAGATGACATATGGACAATATGGATGCTGTTCTCTTTGCTGAAGGGCAAAATAAGACAGTAATATTTTGTCTCAGAGTAATACTACAGGATTTAATGAAGCTCATTTTCTTAATTTTGGGACACTTCCAGTGCATGTTGTAGAAAAATTCTGCCTTAAAGCCTTCTATAAAGATGCTGTCCTCCTTCAGCTCTGTTGAATACTCATCACAGTTATATCCACATAAAACAGCAGAAATGAAAAGCATTACTCCAAGAGTAGTGCTTGAGAATAATAATGCATCATTGGCACACACAACTCCCATAAGTATATACAGTCAGCTGAATTATGCTTTAACAGAATTCTAGTGTATCAGGCTCTTCCTTGCCCTATAGGACCGAGTAGTCAAGTAAATTTTTCTGGAAGCTTCTTTATATCAACTTAACTTAATCATTTACGTTATGAACGTCAGCTGAAGCCTCATTTTCTAAGCAGTACATATTATTACTCCCCTAGTGGTGATCTGGCAATTGCAATCTGGCTTTTATACAAACTTCAGTAAACCTCAGCTACCAGATCCTGTCGCAATGGTTCAAAAATCTTTTTACATAGGAAGTAACTCTATCAATGCTCTGCAAAGCAATTATAAAAGTTGAAAAGTAAACAGATATTTGAGCAGATGAAACAGCTGGGCCCAGGTATTGGACAGTTAAATGAAATGCAGTTCTTCCCCATAATCCTACGTGTATAGTTGAGGTGGATGGGATGTGTCCAAGAAAACATATTCCCTCCTATTTCAGACCCTAAACTCAAATTTTAAGGAAAACCAAACAAACCCAAAACAAACACTAAGGACATAAATACACTGAACTATAGGACCTCCGCCCAAGGGAAGAGAGAGAGCAGGGTTGCTTGGCAGAGTACAAACCAACCAAGAAAGGCACAAACAGTTCTGGAAGAGTTCTCCTCACTTCCCAATTAGAAACCACAGTTTTGAACCAGCACTTGTCTTCCCTAGATACCCAGGCCGCACATCCTGAGGGAACCAAGCAAGCGCTCTGCACGCGTGCCATTTAAAGCTACATGACAGGTCCTCATGACAACTAAACTTTTATTTTTTAAAAGATATGAACAAATTCACAGCTCACAATAACTATTCACCATTACCCACACGCAAAATGAATCAGCTTCCTAGAAAAAGAAAAGTGTTCCCTTGTGGGTGAGCTACACCAACCAGCCCCTCAGTGCCTTCACAGAGCAGAAGTGAGAAACCATCGGCGGCCTAACGGCTGCATGCGCTCTCCGCAGACCGCCGTCAGCTGTGCGTGCGTTGCCGGGTGCCCGCAGCCCCACCCGCCCTCACACACTGAGGCAGGCCGATGCCTCTGGTGAAGGGGGAGCCGCCCAGGCCCCCTCACCGCCCGCAGGCACCCGCGGGGCGCCGCGAAAACACCGAAACCGCCAGCGGGCGGCGGCGCAAGGGCTTCGCGCCACAGCCTTTAACGGCCGGCCCCTCCTCCCCTCCTGACAGGAGGGTGCGACACCTCTCCTCCATCACCTGGCTGCGAGCGTCTTAAGGACTATTTTCGTGGTTTTCTGACAAAAAACAGGCTCCCACAACAGGAAAATGCACAAACGCTCTCAGTTCTCCTGACAGCTGCAATTTTACACATGCTTCCTGTCAGCTGCAAAGAAATGTTCCACTCTCGTGGTTAGTTGTCAGCATTTCCTGATAAGAAACATTTTTGAGGGGATGGTAGAGGTTGTCTTAAAAGAAATTAAACAGAAAAACAAAACAAGGAGGAAGGAAGTTGCACAAAAAACTACGAGGAAGCTTTGCAATGCTTCAACAGATCAGGCTTTGGGAAGGATTTTCTCTTACACAGGGGAAGAGGACAGACTTTTTAGGACCTTGTCTTGTTACCTTCAGAAACTGGAAACAAAGAAGTCAAGGATCGCAGCAATGCGTTTATTGCATTCTCTGTATAAGTACTTCTTTACGTACACCAGGGCCTGGATTTCTTCAGAAGGCATTGCCCATGTATAGCTAAAGATTACATTTACTTTGCCCAGAGGATGACAAGTAAAGAACATCTACTTGCTGTAATTATGTAGCTTTGTATTACTGATTAGCTTATCAAATTAGTCCTCAAATTTCTTTCTGCAATGGTGTTGAACTCAAATTTGTGATGAGATTTGTACCTCCTAGTACAAGATCTCACTTCCTCACAGCTTAATATTTGAAGTTTGACCAAAATACTTCCCTAACAACCTGGCTAGCTATAAATATTTATTAGCATCTTAAAACTTCTATAGATTTGATACTGTCTTTTTTTAGACAATTTTTAAAAAATTATATTGCTGCTAAAAAAACCCAGTACCATGTACTCCCTTAAGTCTCAGCCATACAATCATTTGCATTCTCTCTAGCAAATGAGTGGCTGTTTGGTATGAATCAGTGAACTCATTCCCTTACTAGAACAGTGCTAGAAAAATTATATACAGTTTTATATACTGCATGGCAGCACAGTTCTACCACACAGCTGTGACATGGAAAACTGGTGATTACATCACCTAGGTCTTAGAACAACTCTATGTAACATTTAGTTGTATCCCAAACTTCAGTTTCTCACTCCGCTGTTTTTTCTTCTGCCCACTACTCTGTCTGCCATAGGCTAAGTCTAAGGGGAATATGACAAAAGTAGTTACACAAATATCCGTAAAGATGAGCACTGTTTCCATATTTAGGACTTCCTGAACCCCTAGAGCCACTTCTCAAAGAACTCATTAGTGTAACTAACTCCACCAGCTCTCTTGCTCAGTATCAAGAAAATGTTTTCTCTCACAATTCTGCTGTTTTCCTACTGTAAGCTAAGGACGTACTTATTACAAATCTTTCTAAATAGGAATAATTTTTTCTTGTCTGAAAGCTTTCTTTTCTTTTCTTAGTTCAAATGTCTCTGCAGATCCAGGAAACGACTACAAATGGCAAAGGTAGGTTCTCTTTCTTTGGTTTTGGGATATGTGCTGGAATAGGCTCTTAACAAAAAAATGGGGTAGGGATTTAAAAATGTCCAAAACCTTCATGTAAAATTAAATCTTTCACCCCTGTCTGTGCAGTAAGGCAGTTTACAAGTTTCCATACAAAGTGAACTGTCTCTTTGCTCACTTTGCTGACTTGTATGTACAGTCAAAATTGCTTTAAATTGTTAAAACATATTTTTCCCCTCTAGAAATGTCATAGTTTATCTTAGTCATGACTAGTTTATTACAATTTTCTATGAAAAGACATTACAAGTTTTTATTACATGTTTATTTGTATAATAACATAAAAGCATACTAATTTGATAGACCATCAAGGCTTCTGCTGCCACTACTGGAGACTTCAATCTACTTATGCAAGGTTAATTCTGCCTGTTTACATACAGCCACAAATAAAATACTGCTTTTACTTTCAGGTTCGCACGCTACCTTTCAACTAGCATATAAGGTTACTTTCTCCTGCAATTAACATCCCATAATATTTATATTTATCTTTTGTACTTTTATTATTTTCATTGCTGGTATAGTTCAAAAGTATTTTTGTTGGTTCACCTGGATATATCTTTTGACTTTGTGTGTATATGCTCTCTTTTGTATTTTTTCATCAAGTGTTTGAAGCTTCATACTAATTTTGAAAAATACAAAGTTGTGGTGCCCACTACCAGAGGTGAAAAAAAAATATACCCCCCCTTACTTCAACAGAAATAAGTGTAGCTTGGTCCTGTCACATCCCATCTGAGGAGAAGGAAGAGGTGACTCAGGTTCGTGGATTCTCTCAGTGAGAATTAAGGTGAAACGACACTCAAGGTCCGTGGGCAAACAAGACTTTTATTCTATAGCTAGGCTCATTGGCAATTAAATAGGTAACAGAAAAAGGATGTTGGGCCTTGTATTAATTACTAGATGAGTGAGAGAGAGTTTACCAGTCTGGGGTCCTGCGATGGTCTAGGCACAGCAGAGTTTCAAGGATGCTTCCATCATCATTAACGTTTCTTCTGTCTTCTTCTTCTCTCTTCTTCTTTTCTACTCTTAGCGCTGGCTCTGCCCCTGGGTTCTACATGTTGTACGTTTTAGGTGGGGCATATCACTTTCTGGTGTGATGCAGCTTTACATGTTCTTGGTAACCTCAATTTCCATACACATGGGTGTTACTCATTATATACATTTTGCTTGTAATGAAGCAGAAGGTCACTTTCGCTTACCATATGGGAGGGGGAATGGGCCCAAGGTAAGGCTGCCCTGCCTCCACAGAGCTCCTTTCCTCACCCACATCCTGCCCAGCTGGACCTGTTGTCAGGGAAATTGTTCCACTCCATCACTATTTGGACATATACCTTCTTGTAACAGGTCACCTGTTAATCATTAACTTTCTATCAGTCTCTCACAGGTCCTCAACATATTTTGGGAAAAATCTGAGGGTTTCTTGGATGATAGGTGCAGTGAACTCACACAGAAGTTTCTTCTTTCCAGAGGTGCTGTCCAATCCCAGGCTCATACCTGTTCAGGGGACTTTGAATGTAGTGATGAACCAGAACGTGACCCTCTCCTGCCACTCAGACTCCGGATCTCCACCTGTCAGATACACATTGTTTAAACGCAATCAGAAGGTATCCACTTTAAATAGGCCAGACTTGACTCCCAGTTTGTTTAACTTGACTATCAACTCTGCCAATGATGTGGGTGAATACAAATGCAAAGCTCAGAGTAACATCTCCAGTCACGGAAAATACAGCAACAGTCTCAACTTCACCCTTATAGGTATGTCTTGCTGTACACCTTCTCAGAACATTTTATTTTAGGTGCACATAGGCATGTCTGATGCAACGTATCAGCAGCAGGCATCAGGGCTTTGTTTGCGACAAGTAACATTTTGGACTGCAGTGTGTGCCTGCTTTGATTGCAGAGCTGAACTTCGCTGCAAATGGCTATTACTACCTTAGGACTCAGCAGTGCTATTCTGATCTGTCTCACTGAGCCCACCCATCCTTGATGCCCACCTCATTTGGCAATGTTACCACTTAAACTCAGAGTCTTGCTTTGGCGCTTTTCCTGTACTCAGTGACGCAGTCTTTTCAGTTTTCTCTTTACAGTGCCAATTTCCAAACCAGTGCTGAGCTCACCCACCTCTCAAGCAAAGAAGGGCCAGAATGTGACCCTATCTTGCCTCTCAGAGAACGGCTCTCTTCCTATCACATATGTATTCTTCAAAGGAAGAAAAAGCATCTCTCCCCCAGTGAAGATGCTGAAGAGGGAAGCAGCTGTGGTTTTTCTATTTATCAATTCCTCTAGTGACTTTGGAACCTATAAATGCAGAGCTGAAAATAGCTTTTGCAATAATACAAAATACAGTGACAGTTTCAACTTTACATTAGCAGGTATGCATGCATGAAACAGTTTACTACTGTTGATAAACAGGGACCTCACAAAATTCAGAATGTTGTAACAATGCAAATTTTTTAGCCAGAAATTTTGTTCCTGCAATGTAATGTTCAAAATATTTTTTACAATAAAAAATAATTAGAGCTTTTAAAATTAATGTAAAAAGATAGAATTCCATGCAGCCTAGATAGTAGTAGAAGTTGAAGCGACCATGAAGGATAACGACAAGATTCACTTTTACAAAAGACCCCTGGTCCACCTTGGGGAGAGTCTAGTTTCATTTTTCTCTCTGGTCCTATGAAAGAGAGAGTCTACCAGCACCTGTAAGCTCCCTTCCTTCCGCTGGGGCAACGTGCACTTGGGACTCTCCTGAGGATTTACATTAACCACTGTTAATCCAAAAGCTGAAAGTAATGCAAAGTGTTGATTTGAATTTATAGAAAATACTTAGAATATTAATAATTTCATTGCATAAACCCCTTTTTTTTCTTTTTCGCAGAAGAGAGAAGCCATTCTCAGCTCCTGATAATTTCTCTTGGGCTGACCCTGCTACTATTTGTAATAGGATTTGCTCTGGCAATTCCATTCTTCATAATTCCTTCATATAAAGCAAGTAAGTTATTTGAATGTCTGTTTCATTTTCATGTGTGTTTCATAAATGAAGTGCTCATTTATGTTGTCAGTCATGTTGTCAATATGTTTTAGTATGCAAACATCAGGTTACAAGTAGAGGTATGCTCTTGGTATTTTAGGATATTTTCAAGTCTCCTCTTAACCAGCATAGGCAACTTAACAAGACATTCACAGGGCAAAACCTCTGAGCTGTTCTAGATGGCAGGCCTCGGATGGCAGAAGCAAAGCAACATCTATTTAACACACATAAATGTTGGAAGGAATTGGACCTTGTTGTTCTCAGTAAAGAAAGGAAATTCTATTAAAAATGCCCTTGGTTAAGGAGTGATTTTTATCATGAAAATAACATTATCTGAGACCTCCAAGTATTAAAAAAACCCCATAGAGCTGTTTACTTCCCTCTAAGAAAAACTGATATATGAATATAGGCATGTGTTTGGTTTTCTTTTACAATTTGCAGAAAAATTTAAGTGTACTAGGCCCTCAACTGGCCTTTCTTCAACAACGAATGCTGAAGAGTCTGAAAACTACGTCATATATGCAGAGATTGGTAAGTTCATGTTACTCCTCATGCAGTCATGAAACTTATTTGTAGGAGTTTGGATGAAAAATGCTATTATATTATTTGTAGCTAGTATGGGCAAATTTCTTCAGGTACTGCAAAAGCAGCGGAAGGGAACACTCAGTAAGTGAGCTAACACTCGCACTGACCATGCCTTGCAGAGGCATTATTTGAAGTCCCTCAGGATCTGTATTTGGCACTACCTGTCAGCCATGCAGCCAAAACTGCAACTGGTTAAATGAAGTTCTACACAAAAATCTACTGTAAACAGAAGTAAAATGAAGAATTGCATTTGGCAGCTCATGGTAAGGACTGAAACAGCCTTTACAGACAAAATGAAAATTAAAAGACAGTAAGTAGATCAGAGGTGCAACGCCTATTAACTAAGAGACAAAAGTGGGCTACATGCAAGTTGTAGCAAAATAAAACTTACGTAGCTCCTACATTCTCTTTAAAATTGTTCAGGGCACAATAGTTCTTTATTGCATGTTTCTTAACTTTGACAAGACTCAAAGTCAGTTGAAACTGAAATTATGAATTAATGCTAGACAACAAAGCAACTGACCTATGTTAAGACATTGTACTACTTCAACTGCAGAAAATACACAATAATGAAGTCTTTACATGAAAGCCACCATGCTATTAACTTGTAGTTTTCTACATTTGCCTTATACATGAATGTCAGTATTTTGAAGGGAAAAAGAAACCCTGAAAACAAACTAACAGCAAAGGTATCATGTTTCTCGTTTCTAAATATCAAAAAGGGAATCATTCTCTCCAAACAAATCTGCCCTCCTGTTCGTGCAGTAGACAGGTAGAATTGTAGCTGCTCTGCTGTGTTAGTTCAGTGCTCTGTGGAGCTGCTCATGCCAGGTATCAATCAGCATTCTACCCACATAGCCTGCAAGGACAGTGACGACAGCTCTGATAAGGCCCATGAATGCTACAGAAAGCATGGTAGATTTATATTCAATATAGAATCTTGCTGCTTTGTTTCAATATTATTAAAAAAAAATAATCTAGTCAGTCTCTTGTAAATGAGTTAACTGCTATTCATCATCTTTAATCCAGAGCCTGTTAAACCAGAAGAAGAATATGTCAACTGTTCTGTTATTAGAAGAGAAGATGAAAAAGGTGAAAACCTCAAGCTATAATATTGGAACATCTGATGCGCACAAATATGTTGGGGGGGCATTTTGCTGGTGGGAGGCAGGGTTTAGATGGTACCAGCTGCCTCCTGAAATTTCTTACTTACTATGGAGAAATTAAAATAAATTTAGGACCCTTTTGAGGGGAAAAAAAGCAAACAAAAAACCCCCAAATAAAAAGCCTATCATCATCCTACTTTAGGACACTTTTGAGGGGAAAAAAAGCAAACAAAAACCCCCCAAATAAAAAGCCTATCATCATCCTATGGCCCAAAAATTCAACAACCTCCGTATGAAACCATGCAATAGATGTTATTAGTGACCAAGTTGCTGATGGAATATTAATTCTTCTGCTGTGTATCTGTACTAAAAAAAGCAATTATGAATTATGTAATTCTGGCTTTTAGCAGAGAAGACTGCATGTGCTTCAGTCTATTCAAAGGTCCTCATCAGACATTGAGTACAAGGTAAGATACCTTTTGTGATTAAGTTAATCACGTATTTTTAGATTCTTTCAGTCCTCAGAGGTGATAAGTAACAAGTCTGCACAGAAAGAGATGACGTTTAGATACTAGTTTCCTGACCTAATTATTTTGTAGACTGGCAATATAGCTCGTTCTCTACTAGCAAGCAAAATCCTCAAGTCATAATCTCTAAGAGCTTCAACTTAAAAAAAAAAAAAAAGCAGAACAGATAAAAATTGCAATTAACAAAGACCCAAACAGCAATCCCATTAGACAAACAGCAGCTTATTGCCCAAATAGCACCACCATAAAACCCAAACCAAACCAATGCAATCACTGTCAGGTAAGATCTCGCTGGACACAATATACAGTCCGGCATTATATGCATCTGATGAATAAACAGAAAGGAGTAAGTAATATAAAGCTTTCACCTACAGCCAAGTTCCTGTACATTTAACAATTCTCCTGAAGTAGAAACTGGATTGTATGCAAACATAAGATAATCAAAAAGCTTTAGTCAAGGATTAAAAAAAAAATTTAAAAATCCCAAATGCATTGTCCGCTTACGCACATGCTAGAGGATCCATATTTGACATCTATACCTGCTGTTACCTAGCAGCAAGGATGGCAATTTCTCAGTTCAACGTTACTTCAGCTCTCAGAGTAGGGATAGGATGCTAAAATTAATTTTTGGGACAGTTAACTCCAAAACAAATTCTGCATCCTGCTCTATGCTGTTTCTTAGATGTTTCTAGGTTGTTTTAATGTCATTCCATAGCCAGCTTACATAGAATTACATGAGTTCAGTAAGTCACACAGCCACACTATGCTAACCTTGCACTATATCTAGCATAATTACACTATGCAGCAATTAATATTATTGTTACAAATAACCCATTTATCATTAAATAAGCACCACATTAATAGAAAAAATTTTTAAGGCAAGTTCTTGTGTTTCATAACATTGATGACTATCACTGGCCATGGGCCTTTTTGCTTACACTTTAAAGCACTTTAATACAGTGATGAAACAAGCTGTACAGGCATAGTAAATCTACAGAATCACTCAATTTCATATCTATTCAAACTCTTGTATCTGATTTTGACTATAACACTTCCGTATAGGATAAATATGATCATACATTAGTCTTTTTCCACTATTTTCTATGTACAGACATTTTTGTCCACAAAAATGCCTGTCAAAAACTGCTTACAATTTATTTCCTTTGTTACTCTTGATAATGTATTTCTGATTTTTATGTTTATCAAGTGCAAGATGAAGTAGCTTAAATGCTGAAGAACTGAGGCCACGCGATTAAAATACATTCCTACAAACAGATAGTACAAAGATACTTACTGACGTTATTAAAACACTTAAGATTTGGAAGTCTTTAATATAAAATACCATTTTCCAGCAGAGACCATAACTGTGTCAGCAATACACAGATGAAAGATGAATTTTTAGGTTAGGATGGAGTTATTTTCAATAAAACTGTAAAACTGAAGACATGAAAGAGAATATGGTTAGTGCTGCTACTGAGGGACAAGTCTGCCTCTCCCCTCTTTTCAAGGTAAGCCCAAAGACCTAGATGGTCTAGATTTAGACAGAAAACAGATGCACCACCAAGTTTTAGCAGAACTATTTGCAGAGAAACCACTGAGTCCATGACTCCACAGAAGCCAGTTCAGGCATAGACGTTTAAGAAATTCCTTTTATTCAATGAATTTAAGTTTACATATTTTTGGCTGATGTTACATACTTAGTTAAAAAGTCCTTCAGCCTAGAAATGTGCATCATTTCCTTCATGGTGGTGTCTCTGCTTCTCAGCTGGACCACTCCATTCTCTAAAGTGGCATCAGTTATCAAGACCATGAAGAGAACACTCATCTCATCGTACCTGCAAAAGAAAAAGAGTACGCCTGTTACTGCTTTTGCTGTACGAAAACAATTCAGATAAGTTATGTACAAATGACCATAAGCTGTAAATATTTATTTTTGCTATACTGCAGTAAGTCCTGTGTGAAGGCACCAGTTTTCTTGTTGCCATTCCTTGCTTTCCTAATTAGATTTCTTTAAATTATTTAGTTACTTTAGTACATAAAAATAATGTTATTTAGTGACCTATTACAAGAGTATTTTTGTAGAAGCAGAATATATCTTTCTTCTGTTATTTAATAGCCAGACTTACTTTGAAGACTACTGCACATGAACAAATAGTCTATTTATTTTCTCTTGGGGAAAAATTATTCACCAGTATGCTCAAGATCCATTGACATGAGCAGTGATATGCTCAAAATTCACTACTAATCAACAAATCAAACATGAAGCCCTTACATGGAATAGCTGTTTTTATGTCCACAAATTCCATCACAAACACTAATGGTAATGGTTCCAGACTTGGAAGAACTTTCAAGTTCAAGAGTAGACAGAGTGTGCTATTTGAAATAGTTCTTAAGAATGAAACACAAGAGCCAGTCCAGATGCAAAAATGGGGGGTGAGAGTGGGAAACAGTTCTGCGAGCTTATGACTCACGTTAAGAAATTTATTTTCAATAGGAGAGTCTTTAAAAGGCATTTCACAGTTCCAGAGAAATAACATGTGAAAGGCTTATACTTCACTTAATGTTAAAAATTAAGTATCTGACATTGCTCTTCATAATAGAACTAACTGAATTCAAGTTTATAGTTTGGGATACATGCCTTCAGTCATGTGGTTACTGCACTCGATGACTTCTTACTGAAAACAGGTATATTTTCGCTAGTCCACAGAAAGTCATCTTTCACCTTCATAGTTTTAATTTACAAAAGACTCTTTCTCCTTACTTTGTGTAAAGCTGTTCCAGAGATACCTGCACGGTTTCAAGATAACCCGGCCATGCAGAAATTCTATTTTCTGACAGTTCATTGAACAATCCTTGACAAACCTGTGTTTGTTTAAAAACAAAAGTTAAAAGACAGACTTTTGAGTGTTTGAAATCCTGTACAAAGAAACCATTAAAACTCTACTTAATGTGTGGTACTAGCATTCCTAGCTGGTGTTAATTTTCTGGCTGAAATAATCTCAAAGTAAAAAGCAGCCTGGAATTAAATCTCCATTTCCATTTAAAAACATGCCAGTGCAAATTCCCTCCCTCTGTGGGGACTGGCTTAATGACTGACTTAAATAAAAACTTTTAAAAAAACCTTCTGAAGATGTGACTCATCCATTAAGATAATTCTGAAAGATTAAGAAGCTGAGAGGGACTGTGTTATTTATTTTCCTTAATTTTGCATGGAACAAATATCAACTCTATTAACAGTACTAAAAGCAGCATGTTAATGCAAGGCAGGCATCTACTACCCACTGCCTGCAGTGCGCTCCTTTGGTTACAGCTCACAAGCTGCATAGCAGAAGCAGTATGAAATCTGTACAGCTGTGAATGTCCGAGAATGGAAGTAGCAGCATGATCTTCCCCAATGTAAACGCTGTCTGAATTGCAACAGAAGGTTACGTGGAGAGTCAATGCTCAAAATTAAAATACTTTCTTACAACATACCTGTCTCAGCTCTGTTGTTGGACCTTTTCCTACATCCAAGGCCACTTTAAGAGGTGCTAAACAAGGATGAAGTTTAAGTACCTAGTAATTTTACAAAAAAGCAACAGATTACTAAATGTATTTAGTATGAAATCCTAAACAGAACTAGGAAATACTAGATTTTTTCACTGAAATTAAGGTTCTAAACATGCAAAAATTTTCTCATAGCACAAAATCCTGAATTAGAAGCAAGCTGTATTTTATAGAACTAGCACATGTGCCAGCTAGGTTAGGGTGGCAGAAATTACTCCGTTTTGGCTGAGACCCAGAAAAGAGATAAAGTTATGTTAGCAGAGCTCCATCACCCTTAATGGAGCCAGAGTGATCAGAGACAGCCCAGCAGACAGCTACCATCCAGTCTACTGCCTGTTCCTAAAAACCAAACAGCACTCTAACTCCAGAAAACCAGAGTAAAAGTGGGAATAATGATGGTCCTTGGGGAAATGCCCCACTACCACCTGCAACCCACTTCTACTTGCATCATCAACCTTCAAATGCCACTGGAAGAGACAAACTCTTCTTTCCCATGCACAGCAGCTACATTCCAATTCCTCTTAACTCCTTCATCACTTGGATGGCAAGATCCTACCTACTCATTGAAGACAAAGAAGGTATAACAGGAAAAGTGACCTCAAAATGAGAGAAAAATTTCTTATGTGGGTGAAAAGGACAGCAGAGGCAGTCCAGAGGGGCCAGCTTATTGCTACCAGTGAGAAGCATGCTGTCTGCACCTGTTGGGGAAGGGAACGGAGGACAGCGATGTGGAAAACAGATGCATTTCCACACTTGAATTTATCACATTGTCTGTGGGGCTTGTACTTAAGACTCTCCTTATTTTTTCTACAGGAAGTTACCTTTCTCTGTGAATTTTTCTTTTTTGTTAATGGATTCTCAGCTAGCTGTAGAGAATCAAACAGATATGCTAATACTCCTCGGTCCAGATTTCCACTCACAGACAGAACATGAGGAATAACATTCTTCCTTCCATCTCGGCCCTGAAGAGAAAAAAACCCACAAAGGGATACCTCAAAGACTGTCCCAAAAAGCCTTTTGTTTACTTTAAATGTGTAATGATGCACTGAGCTTAAGCACCCTTATTACATTTAAAATACAATCAGACATGTATTTTTAAAAGTTACCAGCCATCTTAAAAGTGTAAGACTAAATAGATAAGATTGTAACACTGGGGAAAGCAGAAGATCAGAGCAGCATGGGATTATTTTCTTGTCCTGCATCTCTGATCATAAATTTACATCTATGGCCAATACACTCAAAACCCTGCATTTTGTTTTGGAGGTTTGTAGACTATTTCCAAGTGACCACAAGGATCTGTCCCCACATTTTGAGAAATCACAGTTTTGTAGGTTATATTAGTCTTCTGCCTTCTGTACAGAAATAAGCTGCAAAACTAGGGAAGACA